AAACATCAAGAAACTCAGTAGTAAATATGCATGGTAGAAGAGTGAGAAAAACAGACTAATCATGTGAGCATACATATAAAAATGGAAAGACAATACATGCGTAATAGAGGAGGAAAACATACGAGCATAATACAGACAAACATCTAAAAGAAAAGAACAACAAGAATCGAAAGACTTTCGGAAACCCTAATTTTGAAAAACCAACGATTTTGAAAAGGAAATTTGGGGAAAACACTCAAAACGTCAAATATAGCATAGGTTCAACACAGATCTAGGCAAATAAACAAAGAAAGAACCTCGAATAGTTTAGGGTTTCTGAGAAACCCTAGAAATGAGAAGGCGTGGAAAGGGGTCTGGTCTCGAACAGATCTGAGCCATAGCTAGGCTCTTAAAGCTCGAACACACCGGGACATGGCCGGAGAAGCCATAGAACCACAGATCTACAACGGATCTGAACAGACTTTATCGAGGTCAGGCCTCGAAATCTCGAACAACCACGGTTTGGGGAAAAGGAAGGTAAGCACAGGATGTCCATGGCCGGAGAAGCCATGGACTCCGATGAGATTGCTCGGAGAAGATGGCGGAGGCGATTAAGGTTTCGAGTGCTAGGGAGCGTTTGAGAGGAGGAGAGAGTTTGGGGGCGGCTGTTTGAGAGAAATGAGGGTTAGGGTTAGGTTGTTTGGAATTAAAAAGGAAAGGGTTATTTGTGGCCGTTGATCAAAAGGATCAACGGCCTGGATTTAAAGGGATCCCGGGCGGGTTTAGTTTAATGGGTCAGGGGTCGGGTTAAATTGGAATTGGGCTGGCCCAATTGGGCATTAGGATTGGGGCCAATTGGGTTTAAGATAAAAATGAAATTGAGGCTATAATTGAAATGAATGTGGCTAAAATTGAAATAGCCAGTTTTCCCCTGTTATTTTATAAAAAATAGTGAAAATGATTTTAAAAGAAAATTGAAGATGCTGAACCAATTAATAATACATATGTATTAATTTAAAAATATTAGAACTAATTTTACAATTATAAAACACTATTAATCGTAAAATAGGCTATAATTGCCTTTATATGCAATTAGCTTTAAAAATACCAAACAAATTTGTAAAAATATACAAAAAATTACCTTAATTATATTTGGTGTAAATATGAGAATAAAATAAGTTATTCACAAAAAATGATAATTTTGGGAATAATTATTGGATTTTGTACTATTAA